GAGTCCAAACCAGATTATAAAGGTTTCCAAGTGCTGTAGGGTAGGAACTGGGGGGACTTGTGGGTTTTGTATGGAGGAAAGAGGAATATTCATGCTCTTTCACTGCTTAGGGAGCTAGAGTTAGACACCTAAAGTTAAGCAGAGCAAATATTCCTCATACTGTTACACAGGATACATGCACAGCTCTGGACAAGTCTGTTCCTCATTTCCACACACTGGATTTAACAGAGGACCCAGTGCAATCACATCCTAAGGCTCAAATCAATCACATGTTTCCACTCTGCATTTTGCAGTCAGCTCTGTCCAGCCCTGTGGATGGAAAACAGCCTGTGGCTTCCCGTTCGCCTTCCCCTGTGGTTATAAATTACAGCTTGTTCAATGAAGAGGTCAAACATGGCTGACTTGCAGCTTTCCTGCATGAAGCTGAGCAAAACATTGCATTTTGCAATTTAAAAGTAGCTAGCCACTTGCTCCACATGCATTATGAAGAAACCACAGCTCATACTAAACTGAACTCCCCCTTGCCTCCAACCTACCTTGCAGTTTCCTCCCACATTTTTGCCAAATCCCATCTAAAATAAGCCAAAAGCAGATCTGCTTTATGGCCAGAAACGGGACAACCATCTCCATTTAGGACCAATGGTCTGAACTCACATGGCTGGCTTCTGCATTGACAGTTTCGCTTGCAAGTACTTCCCTTACACCCAACCTGCAAAACAATATTAAGCAGTATAGTTTGGGGTAACAGAACCTAGAAATTTTGCACAGGCTGAAGAGGAAAAAAGATTTGTGAGGATGAAGGGAGTCTACCATACACAGCACAGATTACCTGCTTGTAAAAGCCCACTAATTTCTTACAAGTATCTCAAACGCCTTCCCTACCACATCTAACATGTCCTAATTGAGAACAGCAAATGCCTCATACAAGCAACATTATACCAGTGCACTGATGTGTTCCCACTAGCAAGTATCTCCTGCGCCACCTCTGCAGTTGCTTCTTTGGAAGCGAGTTTTATATTTGCAAAGGTCTCTTACCCCAGGAAGTTTCTCAGAAATAAGCAGTTCACCAGTATCCTCACACCCACCACAGAAGCTGCATCCTCTCGTCCATGCTGGGTACGTTTAAGCAGTACAGCTGTTACAATAAACAAGCTCAGGCCACAACTATTTATTCTTTTTGTTTCACTTTTTAAACAAATTGAGGCAAGCCCCCAACAGCGTTGTGTTTTACTGCTATTACATTTGTTTTTCAGAAAGGCTTTTGGTAATGCAGCACATGAGTTATCGATCTGCCCTCCAAAAACACTGAGGCGTATTCGACAAGAACCATTGGAAATGGATTGTTAACTGCCTCGAGGAAAGGAAAAATTTCACTCTGGGCAGAGGTACCAAATGAGGTGAAGCTCAGATCAATAGCTCAACACAAAACCAGAAGTGGCTGCTCTCTGCAGTAACCCTTTGAGCCTGTTCCACCCAAGAAGTAAATGTGTAAGTAGAAACTTACTTTTTAGCATCAGAAACAGGTTTTAGCAGATCGAATTGCTCCCAGCAATCCTCAGACCAAGCAGAGCTTCTGATCTGTTTGGCTGCTTTTGGAAGAGGGAGCACGCTCAGCCCCGAGAGCCTACCCAAGTGATCTCCTGCATCTACCCAAGTCTTTGCCCCTTCCCTTCCTGAGCTCTCAGCTCCCCAAAGCTGGGACTCCCAGCTGCCACTACAAGCAAGATCAGGACAGATCCTGTCCATTCACAGGTCAGACCCCTCCTTTGTACCACAGGCTTGAACCAGCCTCTGTCCTCAACTGCCCCTTCCCATCTGAACTCATTATCATTTCAAGCCTCCCAAAAGCTCCCTACCACCATCCTCTGTTCTTGCCTTGTCCACATTTTTGTTTAACAATCCCAGTAGACCAGGGTCTGCCTTTCCACAAGAGCCTTCTCCAGCCCCATTTCCAGCCTCATCTGCAGTATCATCTTGTCCCTGCTAAAGACAACCAGCTGCCCTGCAAAAATAAGAAGGGGGGTAAAGACCCAGAGGACAACCAACTTCTAGTTCCAAGACCTTCAGCCTGTCCTACACCCCACAGGGCTCAGGAGGCATCTCTGGGTTGGCTTGCACAAACTCTGCTGAGAAGCAGAGGCCCAGGGAATAGACACAGCGATGCAGCATCGAACCCTGCAGCAGAGGTACATTAGAGACCTGGAACAGGCAAAGGCCTGACAGAAGTCTTTGAGAAAGTGCAGTAGCTAAAGCACAAGCACATCCATGTGCTCTGTGCTAGAGATGGCCAGTGGGTTTTTTTGTGAAGCAGCTGACCTGCGAAGCAAAAAGCCAGTCCCTCAAGAAAACAATCTACAAGCATCCCAAAACACACCAGTGCTGGCATCCCTCATTGCAGAGGACAGCCTGGTGGAAGGCAAGGCGTCATCCACTGCCCAGATCACTGAACTATCAATGCATATCACAGGACCACAGCTAATGCCATCAGTAAGGCAATAACAAGTCTTAAAAACCAAAGTCTGACAGCAATATCGCAAAGCAAATTCCTCCAGAAAGCTGCACAGAAACACCGTATGACACCAAAGCACTGCAGAACCACAAAAACCCCTCAGGGATGGCTTGCTTGCAATTAGCAACCCACTAGGGTAATAGACATGGATCTCTGTTTCCATTCGAGTGTTAATCATTGCTCAACAGCTACAAGAATCCCTAAAAAATGGGAAAAGTCCAAAGCAGCAGAGCCACTACGAGGAAATAAATGGAAACCCAGCTTTTGGGACATTTTTGTCATTCGCCTGCCACCTCGTGGGGAAGATGAGACAAGAACCAGTAATTAAGTTTTCTGCCACAGCTATGCTCACAAAGGCTCATTAGTCATTTAAACCCTTGCATACCAGCGTTTTCAACACTAAACGATGGCTTTACATGCCCAGAGGAACCAGATTTTCAGGCAGTGCTTAAGCACACCCATCTTTGAAAAGTCTCTCCCATCAGATGTGCAACCTGAAACCCACAGGGTGGCCAAAACTGAACAGATACTCAAAACTGCAATTGATTTCCCCAAACTCCTACATTTGCTGCCCCAAATAAAGCATGCGTAACAAAGAAACTGTTCAAGCTGTGCTATCACCCCCAACTTTACCTTAGGCCTGGGATAATACGCACCACAAAAGGAGTTAATGAGAATGGTGTGCTACTAGCAGTACTCAAAGCACAACAGAAGACTAGGAATGCTGAAGAAAATCAAGAACTAAACTCAGTAAAATATATCTGCCCTTACTGAAAGGGATCCCAGGGTTTGAGAGGAAAGCAAATTACCTGAAGTGAAATATAAGTGAAATACCTTCTTTTAAACAAAATGACTATACTAAAATAAGCACACACAAGTTTTGAATCACCATCACAAACACACCACTGTCCTTCAAAGTTGTTTTAAAAAACGTGGACTTTGTCTAAACCAAAGCCAACAGCAAATTCACTGACTTCAGTGGGAACACAGCTCAACGCTCCATTACCCGGGGAGTCACTGTCAAATAATTCAGAGTTTGAAAACAAACAGAACCATCAACTCTGTTCTCCACACAGCCTCTGGAAGATGCTTAGTGCAACAACAGAGCCACATGAAGTGAGAAACTGTCCAATTCACTGAATAAAGGCAGTAAAAGCAGACAAGAACCTCTAAGTCAATTACAAATCAGTTCTAGTATTTCATTAACACTTCTGCCAACCTCCCAAACAACATACCATGCAGACTGGTCTAGCAGAACTCACTGAGAAAGGCTGCTCTCCTCTCAAAGAAGCTTTAAACCAGCTCTGCTGAAAGACCTGTACACCACTACCTGTCAATGCATCTCCTCGGACCGTGTTTTGGAGGGAAAGGATTACCCCGCTGCAGCTGCAGCCGTGTCAGCTCAAGCCTGAGCTGTTCATTTTCTTTTTCATATTCGGTGGTGATAGCATCCCGTTCCTCCGTCAGGTTACGGACGTGACCCACATAGCTTTCCACCTAGAAATAAAAGAAGACATCGCTATACCTGAGCGCATTCACCAATGCCTCGCCAGCAAGTTGTTGGCACAAATAGCTCTTCATCCCCCACGTTTACAGAATAAACTCACACATCTGTAGGACACTACTTCTTTATGCCTTGGTAACATCTGGGGATGTTAAAAACTTGACTGAAAGTTCTGGAAGGTGGGAGGGGATGGAGGTACAAAGGTGCTGGGATGTGGAGGACTCTCAACCCCGGCTCTGTGGGAGACACTGGGCTCTCTAGGTGCTTGTTGGTACCCCAACACGAGGAACTGGGCTGCACACCCGTGAGTTCTTGAGGGCAAGAGAAAGCAGCTTTTGGCTGGGAACACCCGTGAACCTGCTGCCGCAAAAAAAGAGGGGGAAACGGGAGTGTTTAGGCCCGGAGGAGTTAAAAACCGACGGGTAACTCTGGCGCCTTCTCCCGGCCCTTACGTCTCTCATCTCCTCGGCCCGCCGCCGTTCCAGGTCGCCGAGCCGGGCCTCGGCGCGTCGCAGCAGCCGCCAGGCCAGGCCCAGCTGCTCCTCGGCCGGGGCGGCGGGGTCGGCGCCCTCCGCCCGCAGCCAGCGGCGGACGGTCTCTGCCGGTACCGGGGCCTCCGCCTGCGGGGGAACCGAGAGGAACCGTGAGCGACGGGGAC